TTCCTTCCTTCCTTCCTTCCTTCCTTCCTTCCTTCCTTCCTTCCTTCCATATATATATATGAAGTAGGAAGACTATACACACACACAGGAGTGACGTAAAGTAGGAGAAGAACCCCCAAGCATCAAGGATGGCCAAGAGAAGGAACTGATCAAAGTACATTACGTGCACTCGGACAGCGTCACCGAAGTCCATCACTGTGTTAGGTTGCTTTCTCCACCCGCATCACACGCGGTCTCTAGTGTGCGTGAGGGCGCCATCTGCAAGATGTCCCCAGTCGTCACCTAGGTCCCTTTGCCGCGTCTGCCTCCTCCGTCTGTGTGGTCGTTCCTAACACTCACTGTGCTTATTCCCTTGCAACAGCAGGCTGACTCCGAGAAAGACCATGATAACAAGAGAGTCAGACTGGAGAAGGAAGTCCAGCCGCACTCTGCTCCTTCATCTTCCCACCCCGAATCTTCCAAAACAAAGTGAGTATGGCCGGCGGGAAGAGCCCGGGATGGTTAGCCAGGCCACGGGGCCGGGACAGAAGGCTTTCTTCCGTACTGGAGGCAGCGCCCTAGGGTCCCATCCACGAAGGCCTCGTGAGAGCTGACACTCACTCCTCTGACAGCAGACCTAGATTTATCGGAAACATTTCCACTAAGGAGCTTTTCCTAAATACTGAGGATTACTGTTTTCTTTAGAAAACCTTTCTTTAGTGGTGTTGAGGATGAACTCAGGGCCTTATACCTGCTAAGGATAGGCATAGGACAGATAAGAAGAGTACCATCACTGTTTTCCTGCTCTTATTTATTTATTTATTTATTTATTTATTTATTTATTTATTTATTTATTTAGCAGGATGGGAAATGGGTAACATTTGCTCAAAGCCCTGGGGTTCCTGCTGGGTCTTTCTTTGACTTGGGATTCAAGTTCAGTGCTCTGTCTTAGGGATGAGTAGGAGCTACACGGCCTTCATGTGTTTGTGAGTGTGAGAGAAATGACAGATGATAATAGTAGTGTCAATATGACTATTGATTATAGTGACTATAAATATATTTATATAGTATGTATATATATGTTATATATGTATGTTCTCTCTCTATATATATGTGTGTGTATATATATACATATACATATACATATACATATATATATATATATATATATATATATATATATAAAATAACAGTGACTATAAAAAGTAACTTATTTGAAATTGCCTCACAAGAGACCAAGCAAACACAAGTGCATCACAAGTGCATTTTGGGGGTGGGGCCGAGCAGGGGGAGCATGCCATCAGATACAGGAGAGTGACAGATATGGCGGCAGCTGAGCTTGCCTGTTTGTTGGGTTCAGATACAGATAGGTGAGAGGTGGAGATGGTCAGAGTCTTCCAGCTTAGTTTGTTACTGAGGGTCAGACTTCACCGAGCATCAAAGCGCCCCCCAAACGGGCCCTCCTGCAGCATAGTTACATGCTCTGTGGCGCTGCAGTCCTGTGCCGGTGACCGTTTGGTCCTCTGTAAACAAGCTCAGCCGTGCTAAGTGTTCTGCTGTGACTGTCTTGCTCTGCAGGACACCCAGGCCCTCCTCAGAGTCCTCCAGAAAGGAAATGCTTCCTCCTCCACCTGTGCCATCCTCCTCCTCGTCCTCCTCCTCCTCCCAGAAGTCAACCAAAACTGCACACAAGCGGTCAAAGCCGGACGCAGACACCTGTAGTCAGGACCCTCCCAGAAGTGCCAGCAGCACCAAGAACAACTCCAAGGACCCTTCCGTTCCCAAGCACAGAAAAGTGCAGGCCAGGGGCTCCGAGTACAAAGTAAGCAGCCGCAGCGGTGGGCGGGGCAGGAGTGTGGTCAGGACATCCGTCTGTTTTTGTGCAGATGGGGGTGGGGTGGGGAGGTTGGGGGGGCCCAGGTGGGAGGGCCCGGGTGGGAGGGCCCTTTATTAAAGTGAACCAGAGAAAAGTCACGTTAGCTTTCATGTGTTTCTGTCACATGCTTGGCTTAAGAAATGGGTTAGTTCAGGTCTTCATTCGGAACTTTAATCTCAAATACTTCAATTATTGATCCTAACGGGAAATAAATCAGGCAGCCTGGCTTCCAGTTAGCCTGGGACAAGTTGGGGGTGGGGCCGCTCTGCTGAGTGTTACCTGCTCTTCCCTGTAGCTTCAGTTAAACCTACAGCTCTGGAGGTGCTGAACTGAGCTGGACTGTGGGTTGACTTACTCTGACTTACTCGGCACACTGCTCTCCTGGGCTCGGGGAGGGCTGTTGCTGCCTGGGCGATGGTCCTGTCCACTGAGGGGGTGATGTGCATGTGTTTTAAAGGGGTCTTCTGGAGAAGCTGCAAACCCTTTCCCAGTGCCTTCTTTGCCAAATGGTAACTGTAAACCAGGGAAGCCACAAGTGAAGCCTGACAGGTAAGCCCCGCCCCCTCCCGTCTCCCTGCCACGCCCCCTCTCCTTTTCCTCTTCTCTTGCCCCCAGGTAGACTTTTTAGGTTTGTGTGACCCACACCTGTCTTCTTTATTTTTTGCAGACAGCAAGCTGACTCTCACATGAAGGAGGCTAAAAAGTTGAAGTGCAAAGCAGAGGCCATGGTCAGTCCGGTTTTTACGCCCCTGGTTGAACAGTCTCTGATCAAGGGGCAAAACTGTGGTCTCCATTCTGCTGTATTGCGCAGCATGGAGTGTGTGTGTATGGGGGTGGGGCAGCCGGTAGGAAGACTCTGCATGGGGTCCTGGGGCGGGGGGCAGCAGGAGGAGCATGGCTTCTGTCAGCCACATTGTGAGCAGGACAGTCAAGGTCGTAATGGCCGAGGCCTGGGGTGTTTTAGGGGAATTGTGTTCCTTGCTCCATTAGTTCAGTCTGATTGTGTACAGACTTCCAGACTCAGTGGAAGCTGATCTGTGTGATGTTGGTGTAGTGTATAAATGCTTTCTTCCCAATCCACTAAGTCAGCCCTTGAGATGTACAGAACGGGTTACTATTCGATCAGTCTCCCCACCCTAACACTGCACAAGGTGAGGAAGCCTCTTTGCCTCCCAGAGTGATCCTGTGCACCGATCTGAGGGAAGGCAGTGCCGGGTGCAGACTGTCAACATGGCCTCACTTGCCAGGGGCTTTCCTGTAGTCACCAAGTGTGTCCTTACATCCCTGCAGCAGTTCGGTGGGGTGGCATGTGCCCCGGGCCTTACATTTATTGGGGTTGTGCCATAGTCAGAAGCAACTCTCAGGGGTCAGTCCTCTCTGCCCGCCATGTGGGTCCCCGGGTCAGACCGTGTCCCCAGGCGTGGCAGCACGCTCTCTTGCCCGCCGAGCCTCTCATTGGCCTCCTGGAAGGCGCTCCGGACAGACTGCCCCTGCAGACCCACATGCATGCAGGCCTGTGGGCTCTCTGTGACCTGACTTAGCTGTCCCCTGTAGGCCACCAGGACTTTGGCCTGTGCCTTTCTACCCCAGGTCGCAAGTCCCCTGTTTACCAGATAAAGTGGCCCTTGGTTACCTCCCGTGCTTGGTGCTGTGAGGGATCTGGGTGCCCTTTGGCCCTAGGACTGACCCCACCCTACCCCGGGCTGTGGCGGCTCAGCCTGTGCCAAGCAGTGCCGCCCTTTCCACTGCCTCTTCCCCACTCTCCAAGATGCTGTAGGAGCTGTGACAGGCGTGCCCTTGTTAGCCTCACAGAGCCCTTAAGGAAGTGGCCGGGCCTGGTTGGTATACGATACTTCATTTCTACACCAAGGGTAATAGTCATTTTGGAAACTGCCCAAGAGAAATTGTTTTAAATGTTTGGGTTTGGGAATTAGAGTCCTGGGCTTGGTCACAGGAGTTAAGAGCACCTGCCGCTCCTGCAGAGGACCTAGGCTCGGTTCCCAGCTCCACGTGGCAGCTCACGATCACCTGTAACTCAAAGTCTAGAGGATCTGACGCCCCCTTCTGGCCTCTGCAGGCACAGCACGTTTTCACTGTGCACATACACACATGCAGGCAAAGCAGCCATATCCACGAAAATAAAGGGAATTAGAGCCTCACCAATGAGGAAAACTAGTAACGATCCATACAGCTGATCGAGGCACATTAGTTTGACTTGTATTCTTCCTGTCACTCATTTTTCTGAGCTTATGCTCTCTAGGAAAAATACCAAGCTTTATAGAGTGTCTGCAGCGCAGGCGCATGCTTGTGTGTGCCCTCGGATGTGCATGGGACACCCTAGTCGGTCCCTCCAGTGGTAAAGATGCGCAGTGGGGGAAGAGCTGCTGCATCCCTATCGCTGGCGCATAGAAGCAGCAGCAGCAGCAGCACGTGGAAACCAGAGCAGCCTAAGGTGGATCTGCCTCCATGCTTCCAACATGTGTCTTTGCTGTTTTCTCCCCTTTTGAACACATCAAATTGAAGCATTAGTAAAACCTACAAGCGGCCCATGTCAGCCAGCTGCTCTCAGCGTGTGCCACATACGCCACGTGCAGAGACGCGGGCTGTTCGCCACATTTCTGCTGGGCTGAATTGGCTGCATGCCACTCATGGGTTCGGGACTGGGCAGACCACCAGAATCTGGTTGTTTCTGTTTCCACATTTCCTGGAGGGGACCTTGAGAGTTTGTCCCTGTCGGCCCAGGGCATGTCCTTGTACAAAAAACCAACATGCCAAAGGAGACAAATAGCCATCAAGTGATCCGTTAGATATTTTATATAAGATGCCTATAAGATGATAAACCCCGACCTCCATCAAGACACTCGTGTCTGTTCTGTGAACGTGCTGGCTGCCTGCTTCTCAGAGGTATCCAATGAGTGGCGATTGCCATCGCTAACAGGGCGGTGCCCTTGGTGCCCGGTGGAGTTCTGAGAGTCATGTTTTGCCAGAAGCCACTTTTCATAGGTCAGAGCTGACTGCTATAACTATTCGTCTTGTTCTGTTATTCTTTCTCGTGTCTTTCTGATCAGGAGTAAATAAAGACAGTAGAGAAGGAAGATACTGAGAGCTCCCTGTGGCCTCACAAAGCCCGTGTTCTTCTCCCACAGGCGGACAAGGCTGGAAAGGCCTTCAAGTATTTGGAAGCTGTCCTGTCCTATATCGAGTGTGGGATGGCCACCGAGTCAGAGAGTTCGGCCAAGTCGGCGTACGCTGTGTACTCGGAAACTGTAGACCTCATTAAGTAAGTGTTGGGGTGTCTGCCATCTTCCAAATCTGTCTCTCCCCTCACTGGATGTGAAGACATCTAAAGAGAGGACCCAGGCTCTGGGTTGGTCCACAGATTTTTTCTTGTCCTGATGAAAGTGTGTTCTAGATGAGGGAGCACAAGATGACCGGGTGCAAGTGGGTCATTTTGCCAAGTGCTGTGAAGAGGACGCCGAGTCTCGGGGGGGGGGGGGGGGCAGTTTTCCCAGCTTAGGTTTCATATCGGCTGTCTTCTCCAGCACATGCTCCCTGCGTTTCGTTGGGGGTTTATCGAGGATGTGGCCAAGCTTGGTTTCAGGAGAGAGCAGGCTGGGGGCCAGGTCTTCTGAGCGGCTTGTGGTTGCTCTTAACCCCTGGGCTTTTGTGTTGTGCACATCTTCACGTCCTCTGGAAGATGGGAGAGGGAGCCGGCACAGCCAGCAAACCTGGGCTCCTGTAACCGGCCTGGTTAATTAACCCCAGGCACCTTTGCATCTCCCTGCAGGTTCACAATGTCACTAAAACCCTTCTCAGATACCACGGCGCCAGCACAAGAAAAGATATTTGCCGTTTTATGGTACGTACATTTTCATTTGTTGTATAAATAGCACTTTCCTTTGATTAAAAATTATCTTTAAAAAAAATTTTTTTTTTTTGAGACAAGGTCTCTCCATAACTCTGGCTGTCCTGGAACTCTTGAGGCCAGCCTTGTCTATGTAGAGACCCGCCTGCCTCTGCCTTTCCAGTGCTGGGATTAAAGGTGTGTGCTAGCACACCTGCCTATACATTTATTTTCTTAAAGTGAAAATCATGGCAGAGGCAAGTGAGCCCCACCGCGGCCATCAGGAAACGGTGTCTCCTGTGCTCTTCTGCCCCTGGGGGGCTGCTTTGGTCTCAGGAGTCAGGTGATGTGTGTGTGTGTGTGTGTGCGCGCGTGCGTGCGTGTGTGTGTGTGTGTGTGCGCGTGCGCGTGTGTGTGTGTGTATGTGTGTGTGTGTGTGT